TTCATTTTTTTTGCTGCTGTTGTTGAACTCACTAGCTAATTGAACTATGCTCTAGCCTTTTGATGTTTTCCCTTATGTATAGGCAAGCATTGAAACAAGGAGAATTGTAACACTAAGGTTCAAGACAGCAAGTAGATTCAGAAATATAAAAAGTCTTGGAGTGAGTTCAAACCTGTAATAAGAAAATTAGGTCCATTTTTGTTCACATGTTAGATGAATTAACCTTCAGTGGAATCCAGAAACAGCAGAAATATTTCCATTTTTTTAACTTCCAGAGGAAACAGAATTTAAAAAAAATGTAAACTTCCTTTTTCTCTTTAACCTGAAATTACATAATTGTATGAATGAATGAAGATATGAACACAAAATTCATTTAAAATGAACTAGTTTACTAGTTTATGTCATTGATCAAGTCAAGAGAAATGTAAAATGTACTCAAAGGAGATAAGTAAATTACAGGTAAATTTTTGCCATTATTGAAACCCATACATTTCACTGACCATAATGAGAATGGAGGATGCTAGATTTTTTAAATGGTCATTTTAATACTAGAAGGTATTAATTTTATAATAAATGAATATGATTTTAAAATATTATTTTACCATGAAAGTATGTCTTTAAAACATCAGTAAATTCCTGTACCAAATGAGCCTATTTGCTGATGAAAGTGTGCAGAATATCACAATAGTTTGATGCAATTTTTAAAAAGATGTTTATGCATATGCCCTAAAGAAGGTGTATAGAAATTTCTAAATATAAAACATTCTCTAAGGGACCATTTTACAGTTAATTATCAGGCTGGGTAAAGCTCTTCTAATGAGGCCTGACAATGATGAGTTTATGTAAAATCCATTCATTGTTATTGAAAGTCTCCATATGAAAATATTTCTTGTTATCCATATTTATTCAAGCAAATACTGCATAAGCAAGAAAACAATAGATATGTTTACAGCAGATTAGTCTCCATTGTTGTAGTTATCATCATCCTTGATAAATTCCAGATATTTTTCAGTTTAGGCAGAACAGGGATTCAGAGTTGTAATCTAAGCACTGTGGGCACCTCTACACAATACACATGCTTCAGGGTGGAGGGCATTTTTATTACAGCGGTTCCCAGGAGCTGCTCTAATTAAACTACCCACAGCATCTCATGTATTCAGCATCCTGCATTTCAAAAGAGCAGCAGGAGCATTTAAAGCTCATTAAAGCACTCCTACCACCATTTTCAAATGCGGGGATGCTGATTAGAATGCTCCAGCAGACTTGATTAATCATTTCCAAGTTGTGTGGCACAATGTGATTAATTAAGTCTGCACCAATGTGTTCTTATCAGAATGTATCAGAACACATAAAAAAGTGCCCTGTGAACAGAACTTACGTGGAATAACAAATGGACAAATGGGGTATTGTCAGCTGGGGAAAA